GGAGTTCTGTTCAGAGAGTCTTTTCTTATGCCAATGAGATCAAGACTCTTCCCTACTTTCTCTTCTACCAGATTCAGTGTATCTGGACTTACATTAGGTCCTTGATGCATTTGGAGTTGAGTTTTGTGCAGAGAGAAAAATGTGGATCTGTTCGGATTCTTCTATATGCAGCCATCCAGTTTGACCAGTACCGTTGAAGATGTGTGTATTTTTGCTTTCACTAAAAGCCAGCTGCCCATGGGTGTGTGAACTTAACATCTGTTGAACATTGTGTCTGTTTTTTATGCTAGTACCATACTGGTTTTTATTACTATTATAGCTCTGTAGTACAGTTTGAGATTGGGGGATAGTGATACCTCCAGCAGTTCCGTTGTTCAGGAATGGTTTCCATATGAAGCTGAAAATTGGTTTTTCAGTTTCTGTGAAGAATTGTGTGGAGATTTTGATAGGGATTGCCATTAAGTCTATGTATCACTTTTGGTAGGATGGCCATTTTTTTTACTATATTAATCCTGGTAGCCCATGAGCATGGGATATCTTGCATTCTCCTGATATTTTCTTTTGTTTCTTTCTTTGGTGTCTCAAAAGTCTTTGTCATGTAAGTCTTTTCACTTGCCTAGAAATACTCCCAAGATACCTTATTTGAAGCTAGAGTGAAAGGTGTTATTTCCCTGATTTCTCTTCTATCATTTGTATGTAAGAGGGCTACAGTTTTGTGTATGTGTGAGAGTTATTTTTTGTATCTAACTACTTTGCTGGAAGTGTTTATCAGCTGTAGGAGAATTCCCCAGTGGAATCTTTAGGGTTCCTTATGTATACTAGCATATCATCTGCAAATAAAGATACTTTTGACTTCTTTCTTTCCATTTTGTGTCCCCTTTATCCCCTTCAGTTGTCTGACTGCTTCTAGCTAAGACTTAAAATATTATATTGAGTAGTTATGGAGAGAGTGGAGATAGCCTTGAACGTGAGTTTAATGGCATTGCTTTTGAGTTTCTATCCATTTAAGTTAATTGACTGTAGCTTGCTGTAATTGCCTGTAGTATGTTTAGGTCTGTCCCTTGTGTCTCTGCTCTATCCAGGACTTTTATCATGAAGGGGTATTTTTGTCAAAGCACTTTCTGCATATTATAAAATGATTATGTGAGTTTTTTTTCTTTCAGTTTGTTTATATGGTAGATTACATTAACATATTTTTGTATGTTAAACTATCCCTGTATTTCTGGGATGGATCATACTTGATCATGGTGAATGACTTTTTTTTTATGTATTCTTGATTCAGTTTGCAAGTATAAGTATTTTATTGAGAATTCTTGCATGTATATTCATAAATTAGTCTATAATTTGTTGTGTTTTTAATGTGGCCTCATAAAACATATTGGGCAATGTCTCTTCTGTTTCAATTTTGTGGAATAATCTGAGGACTGTTGACATTAAGTCATTGGAAGTCTGGTAGAATTCTGTGCTAAAACTCTGACCCTGAACATTTTTTGATTGGCAGACTTTTAATAACTTCTGTTTCACTAGGGGCTATAGGTCTGTTTAAATTGCTTCTCTGATCTTTATTTGGCTTGGGGAAATGTTGTATACTGAGAAAATTAATTTAATTTCAGTTTTCCCAATTTGATGGAGTACATGTTTTTAAAGTGTGTCCTTATGATTCTCTGGATTTCTTCATTCTCTGTTATGACCCTACTGATTTTTCTCAGAGAAATACCTTTTTTGTATTGTTTGTTTCTATTTTATTGACTCCAGCCCTCAGTTTGATTATGTCCTGCCATTTACTCCTTGAGTATGGTTGTTTCTTTTTGCTCTAGAGCTTTCAAGTATACTGTTAACTTACTAGTATGAGAGAGATCTCATTTATAACTAGTAGTCTTAAGAACTTGTGTTTTTGCTTTGTAATGACTGTCTCATAAAAATACAATTAAGTTTTGAGAGAGCCCAACAATGTTTCATCTGTCAACTCCCTCGGGTTGTCCCATGGAACATAATATACACCCCACCCACCCTGACACATGTGTACACACATGCACATAAATATGAGTGTAAAAAATAGATCTTGAGGGGTTAAAAATCTATAAACCAACTCTTCACCTTGAAGAGGGTTTATTTCTTTTGCCAACTACTTGTTTATGAAAAATACATAAACATTCACTATACACACAAGATAATGTGCTGTAAAGGAAAGGTAATGACTTGCCCAAGATCTGATCACTGGTTAATTGTTGAACTAGACATGGACCTATATGTATGCCTCCAAAGACTTGGGTCCTTAGAAAGGAATCAGGTTTACATTTACAATTAGTTTTGTGCAGTTGCTGTGGGTCAGGTCCTGTAACCATGTAGCATAGTTACAGAGAAGTTAGGGACTGCTCAATGCAACATTCTATTTACTTTGCTTGTCATTGGGGTCAGAGCTTTCTCTTGGGAACTGAGCCAGTCTCTGTCACTCCTTGAAATTCATAAGCCTGGGGCACCCAGTCTCACTTTTCCTAGTTACTTTTAAAAGTTCTTCATACATTTTATTTCTTCTGCTTTTCTACTGCAATTCTAGTACACTATTTAATAAGTGGTAAAAGCAGGCATCCTTGTATAATTCTTATATTTCCAGTTTCCTATAGATTTTCAGTAGACTATATATAGTCAGGTTATGAATGTTTCTATTCCTTTGTGGATAAGCTTTATACAGTTTAAGTGAATTTTAATTTCACTTGTTTCTTCTGCATCTGTGTATGTAATAAAAAAGCAAACATGTTTCCTGTTGTTAAATTACCCTTGGTTTTTGGAGATAAGTTTAGATTACGATGATTTATTAATAGTACCTTTCAAAATCTATTTACTACTAAGTTTTTTAAAATAGATTGTCAATTCTTTTTATTTTCTAGATTGAACTTTAATGTTATATTTTCCCAAGGATTTATTTTATCTAATGCTTTAAGTGTATTAGCTCAGATATTCTCATAATATAAACATTTTAAAGGCTGTATGAATAGATAGATGTTTTATTGTTGAGCAACCTATATTTTGGTTCATTTGTTCTTTAGTTCTATATCTGTTGTTCATTACCTTTGATGTTTTTCAAATTTATTCTTTGTCCTACTATTTATTTTTCACATAGGATAGTCATTGTACTTGAGAGGACACCGCAACACAAGGCCTTAGGATTCAAACTTTTTGATCTTACAGAAAGTAAACAATGTATATGTAAATAAATATATGTAATAGTTATAGGACTACTGTGCATATCCTATAATATATGTTAAACATTTTATACAAGAGTGCAAAGATTAATATAAATGTAATGGCTGTGAATTTTATTAATATGACTGAAGTTTAAGAAGTGATATTTACATGAGAAAATTGTTAATTGAAAAGTAACCTATAGCTTAGCCAGTGAACAATATTGAATCCCATTGGTTCTTGAGTTAACATCTTTTGTCAGCTTTAGAATTAGCTTTTTGTGATGTTGTTTCTCTGAATGTGTAATTTAATTATAGTGGCAATATTGAGCACTTTGGCCCTTCAAGTACATTTAACCAACCAACTGCTCTATACCTTATTTGCTGTTAATGATAAACTATGACTAATTGAGAGGTTTCTGTAGTACAAGTTTCTCTAAATTACTCTTCATCACTAAGCTGCCAGGTTTTTACTATAGTTGGATATTGTAAAGATATTCTTGTTGGTTTGAGACAGGGCCATACTTACTATGGAGTCCTGGCTGTCCTAGAATTGTAGACTAGGCTGGCAATAAATTTACAGAGATCTGCCTGTCTCTAAGGTACTCTTGTTAGGAGGAACTAGCTCACTAGTGTTTGCCACTGTGAATAGATGAAGGCAAGGCTTATTTTCTTGTTTATTTCCTATTTATGGTTGGAACATTGCAAGATCGCCTATGGAGAGCACAGAAAGTAGAGACTAAGAGATCGTCTGTAAACCTTTTGTGACTTGTCTACAGAATCTTATCATCTCATAACTTGAATTATGATTTAATGTTTGAGCTGAGCATTTGTCACCAAGCAGTTCATGAACCATATTATGAGAAGGTTAAAAAAAAAAAAAAAAAAAAATATATATATATATATATATATATATATATATATATATATATATATATATATATAAATTCCCTTGTATGGAAGTACCATAACTTCAATAGCTAGTTTGATTTCAATTTTGAAAGATAAAGAATATTAAGTGTTTGAGGGACTGGAGAGATAGCTTAGCAATTCAGAGCAATTGTTGCTCTTCCCTAGGTCCCAAGTTTGGTTCCCAGCACCCACATGGCAGCTCACAACAATCTCTTAACTCTATTCAAATGCCTACTTCTGATCTCAGTGGACCTGCATATATGAATGCAGGCAATATACCCATATACATAATATAATGAAATTTTAAAAAGAAAAAAATCTGAGGAATGTGGTGAACTGGAGGGAGGAGGGGAGGATAGAAAAAAAAGGAAAGGAGGAATTTCTTCATTAATACTGGTATAATGTGGAGTCTGAGTTAAACATTGTAGCCTATGGAGAAAAGTGTAGAGATGGTCATCAATAAGCAACTCATAAGTTTCTCATAAAGGTAGACATTGTGATTTAAGAAAGTTGTAATAATAAAATATATAAAATGAACCTTTACAAAACAGAATATTTAACAAGAATTTTACCATACTTAAAAAAAAATCATTATTGGTGGAAGTTTTTAAGCTTTGGGGGAATGGAGAGCTTTTTGGCCAATCATTTGCAATCCAATTACAAGACAATGACCTATTTTTAAAACTTTAAAAGGTATAACATATAAAATAATATATTTTGAATTTATTCATTTCGATTTGGGGTAACCTGGCAAATTGCAATTGATACTGTTTGACAGTGTGACTAAGAATATGTCATTACTCAGTTTTCCCTGGGAGCTTTCGGATTATTGCCACGCTGTACTACTCTACTTCCACGGAGAGGTAAGAAGCATATCTAATCTTTATAACTTGGGGTTGATTCTAGGCCACCAACAAAATGGAAGTGAAAGAGAATGATAAGTATAAAACATGGAGGTCGAGCCCAGACAGTGAATCTTCATGGACTACTGTTGCAGATGCCAGTTCTGGGAGGAAATTCACCATTCCAAAGATCAGGAAGACAACTGAGAAAGGTAGGATTTCTATACAAGATGATAATTTTTATAAAGACCCTGTTTCTCTAGTTATTCATGTTCGATATTAAACTAGATTAAGTCAAATCTTTGCTTCCCTCAGATATACATGTGCCTCTGATCTCATACAAAATGGAGCAGTCGCAGCTCCCAGTCTCTACACTTGGAGTAATTACACTAAAAACCCTGGATTTTGCATGTAAAAATAAATGTAAGATATATACACACACACACACACACACACACACACACATATAAAGGAACCTCAGGCTAGGGAATAGTGAATGACATGTTTTCTGGGCTTAGTGCTTCCTCAAACCAGACTGATGCCTACCATCTAGAAATACCACTTGGTTCAGGCTTCTCCTGTAAAAAAAAATAAATAAAAATAATTTTATTTGCCATGAAACCAAAAGGTGGGTCAACTTGGAAGATGGGAGCTATTAAGATACTATGCTACTACTATGAAACACAAGGAATTTGGGTGAGGGGCATGACCACTACACCTTTGTCAATAAGTAGAGGAAAGAGACTAGCTGATACACCTTGCCACCAAATGTGGTGCCAGAACAAACTAAGTAGGAGGCCTAGACTATAACAAGATTAGCATTCTCTTCCTTTACCAGGAGTGACCAAGTGGGGAGCCTGGACTTTCCCTCTCTGCCAGCCTGGACTTTACCTCTTTGCCATCCCTTGCCTTATAGCATCAGTAGATTCCATATTCCCCTAACCATAGCTCTGTCTCTTCTTACTAGAGCAGATATGCTAAAAGCAAAATGTAGAGCTTGATCTACAACATCCAGGCAGTCACCCTACCACAAGCCAGTGGCAGCTGAGTAAGTAGGCCACATGCACTTTTCCTGCCTGAAGTAGCATCAGGGCACATCTTGTTGGTGTATGCCCTAGAGAGAACAAGGACTTCAATCCCGCCTGGTAGAATTAGCTGTTCACTTTGACTACCAGCAATTTTCCCAAGCAGCATGGTTTTAGTAAAGACTTGGCTAAAATACAAGGCTAGATATAATAGAACCCAAATGTCCAAGACATAAGAAAATCTTTTTATTTTATCACGTCAGGAAAAATCTCAACTTGAGTTAGAAAAGCTACTTCATAAGCAATCAGTGCCCTGAGTACACCACTTGGGATTATTTGAAAATACTTTGAGTATTTTTTAAATTTCTTCACATAGTGTATTTACCATTTTCTTTCCTTCCCCCAAGTTCTCTCAGGTCTCATCTACCTCCCTACCCACATATATTCATTCTTCCTCTCACTCAAAAAAACATGAGAAGATAAAAAGCACACAAAACCACAGAATCTGTTTTATGTTGGCCAGCTACTCCAGCATGAGGCCTGTCCTTCAATGTGGTTGATATACCCACTGGGTTCACTCCACTGAAGAACACTTCTTTCTCCTAGAAGGAACCTCTTTTAAAATAGCCATCATAAATATGCTTCAGTAAGCAATTACAATCTTGAAACAAATTAAAATACAAACAGAAAATCGCTTCACTTGAAATAAAGTAGGTAATGAAGAGCCAAATAGAAAGAAAGCAGGCTTGTTATACACTCTTGAAAGGAGTCCTAGCAGAGACACAAAAGTCTCTAAAAGTTCAAAGTCTTCCTCTTTACATAGTAATTGAAATAAAAACTCAGTCAGAACCTTATAAAACTTCAAGGAGAAATAGACAAATTCACTATCGTGTTTGAAAATTCAATAACCCTTCCGAAGTGGACACATTCAGCAGATGGAAAATTAGTAAGATTGTAGTAGAAGTGAATACCATTATCAGTCATCTGGATTTAATATATAGTACATTATTCCAGCGATAACATACTACATATTCATCTTAAGCTCACACGAGACACAACAAAAATACCACACCTGTGCCTGAAAGTATACCTCAGACAAAGCCTATTCTTAAATCACAATGAAATTTGAACGCTGAAATAGCAAAGAAGCTAGAAAATCCTAAAGTATTTGAAGATTAAACAGAACATAGCTCAAAGACTAAATAACAAGTACAAATTTAAAGCCCCTTGAACTAAATGGAAATAAAAACACAAGATTTGGGGGTCACAGTAAAAGCAGTGCATAGAGGGGAACGCACAGCATCTGATGCATATATTCAAAGAGAAGGATAAAAGATCAACAACTTAGAATTGCTAAGAAGAGAAGCATCACTACAGATCTCATGGACATTATTATCTTAATATATGTCAATGTGCCCAAATATTTTATACACTAAATAAAATTTACAATTCCTAAAATACACAGTAAACCAAGACTCACACAAGAAATAGATAATAAAAAGTTGCTATCAACTTGTGAGTGGAGGAAAAGGGAGGGGTGAAGAGGAAATCTAGAGGGAGGAAAGAGAAGAGAGAAAGTGATATAACTACTTCAACTTAAAACAGAAAGGAAGGAAGGAAGAAAGGAATTGCAAGTCTGTGAGCCCATCTTTACTCTAATATCAAAACAGGAAAAAACATAACAGACTTTTGCTTTGTTTTTATGTATTTTATCATTAAAAGACATGCAAACACCTCAGTGAATGTTAGGAAGTTAAGTACAACAGTGTGTGAAAAAATTTAGAGTGAATGAGATAGCTTTGTGGGAAAAAAAAACACTTGCCAATGAGCCTGCTGACAAGTTCAGTCTCAGAACCCACATGGCAGAAGGAGAGAACTGACAGTTACAGATCATCCTTTGATCTTCGACATGTGCAGTGGCATTTGTACACACACAAAAATACAAATAAGTGTAATTTTTAAAATTTATTGATTTTTTTTTTTTTTTTTTTTACATTATTAGAAGTTGGGATGTCTCCCTTGGGGGTATAGAACTAATTCAACATTAGAAAATGGAATGTATTTACCAATACATAAAGAAAAAAATGATTACACTTATAGGTACAAACTAGCATTTGCAAAAAAAAAAAATGGCACTTAATAAAGTAAAAATAGAATGTTCCCAGTTTTGTAATACAGGTTTACAATCCTTAATCTGAAATTCTGAAATCCAAAATACCTTGAAAACCAAATTGTTTCAAAACCTAAAACTCTTTAGGTTGCTATCATGATGATGCTTTAACAATTTAGATTTCAGACTTTTGAATAAAGTGATGAGTTCTATCCAGATATACCAAAGTCTGAAAATGTCAGAAATCTGAAATACCTGTCCTCAAGTACTTAGAATAAGGGACAGTCAACATGTGCTTGCAAAAAGCCTACAGTTAATGAATTTAAAATAGTAAAAAACTTGAAGCTTAATTTAAATCCTAAGATCAAATCACAGATTTTTTTTTTCTCCATCCCTTTTCATCTTTATACTGAAAGTCAAGAAATGAAGGTAAGAAGTAAAACTGCCCTTGCTCCTCGATGACATGATTGCTGTTGTTAAAAAAAAAAAAAAAAATCAAAATAATCAACATTTGATGCTCATAAAGCAATTTTAGTGACATGTTGGAATTGAAATTTTAAAAACCCACAGTGCCCATTATATTAGTACCTAAAACATAGTACAATTTCATAGGAGGATAAGAATTAAAATTCTGATGAAAAAAATTAGAAAGACTCCAATGGAGGGATACTTGTTCATATATAGAAAAGCTTACTATGAACAAGTAGTTTTTCACAAGTAGAGTTGTAGATTCATTCCAGGCTATTTTCCCAGCAACTGATGCTGAAATCAACAAATTGATTCTCGAGTGAATATGGAGAGGCAGAAAATTCAGAGAGCCAACTCGGTATTGATGAATAATAGAGTCAGAGGAGTAAAATGACTTAGCAGATTCCTACTGTGAAACTGCAGTAATAAAGGCAGTGTGAAGATGGAAGAAGCAGAGATGGTTAGGTCAGGGTTAACACAATAGCTGAGTATGGGCATATACAAATATAACTGACAAAAGTCCAAAGCAGTTCATTGGGGTGAAGACACTGTTTTTAACAAAGAGTGCAAAAACATGAAGGTAGAAACAAACTTAATGTAACTCACAAAAATCAATTCAAAATATGCCGAACATAAACGTAAACAAAACTATAATATACAGCTGCTGGGCGTGGTGGCATATGCCTTTAATCACATTAGTCAGAGACAGGTAGATCTCCTGGTCCAATGAGTTTACAGGACAGCCAGAGTGACCAGTGTGACCCTGTCTCAAACAGTACCTCAGTGAACTGGCTGATTTTGTGTATCAACTTGACATAAGCTAGAGTTATCAGAAGGAGCCTCAGCTGAGGAACTGCCTCCATATCGAGCTGCAAAGCATTTTCTCAATTAGTGGTCAATGGGGGAGGGGCCCAGCCCATGGTGGTGGTGTCATCCCTGGGCTGGTGGTCCATGGTTCTATAAAAAAAATAAACTGAGCAAGTCAGGGGATGCAAGCCAGTAAGTAATCAGTACCCCTCTATGGCCTTTGTGTCAGCTCCTGACTTGAGTAATAAACAACAATGTGGAAGTATAAGCCAAATAAATTCTTTCCTCCCAGCTTGATTTTTTTTTTTGTTGGTGGTATTTTGTTGCAGCAATAGAAACCCTAAGTAAGACTAATAGCTAACTTTAGGGAAAGTCTAAACTAAATGACCTTAGATTTAACTATAACTCGGTTACAGTGCCAAAGGCATGATCCAAGAAAGTGTTGATTTATCTGTACTTCTGAAATTGAAAATGTGTGCTCTGAAAAGTACTGTCAATGGGATGAAGCACAGGAACCTGGTTAGGTTTACAGTAGTCTTGGTGCTGGCTGCATGATATGAAATAGTGACACCCAGTCTGGTTCTGAAATGGCAAAGCCACCTGATTATTTAGAACTTGGTGCCACTTTGCTGATAGGTGTAGAAATAGGAAAATTTGGGAAGTTTTGCTTGGAGTATAATGCAGAACCTCTATCAGCAGGTGATATAGAGTGGGATTGTATCTATGGACAAGTACAGCAGTGTTTTACTGTCCTTTTGAAATCAATGAGATGGAATAGGCTTTGGAATACATTCAGAAGCACCCTGAGGATCTCAAAGGAACCAGAGGGAAACTCATTAAAAGCCTTCCACAAAATTCAGTTGTAGACAATTACTTTTTTAGTACCATACTAGAGACATTTTGTTCCCTTAAAAAAAAAAAAAACGCTGATCTGAAAAGAGTAACTTGCTGTATTGCCTCCATAGCATTTATAATTGCTTGCAGTTGCCACCAAATTTTTACCAAAGACCCTAACCAGGTCATCAGACAACAACTGATGAGCATATAAAATTAGTCACTATATATCCTTATCATTACAAGACTGTAACTATTGAGAGCAAAACTTTATAAAGCTCAGGAAGTAGAGGCTTTTTAAAAAATGTAAATATTGTTAGATAAAGCTTAAGATTGGTACTACCTGTGTATGTATTTAAGGAGTCCATAAGAGCCCAGAGTAAAGGGAAGTTAGGTATTTATTGGGGGATCACTCACAAATGACAAAGCAAGGTACAGAACCATCGAGATCTTTTGCCTTTAGTCCCTGGTTGCTGCCATACACCTTCCCACCCCAGTCCAAGAGAACCCAGCACTTGTTCCCAGCCCACATGTAGCCTCTGCATCCCACCCCAAAGGGGCTGGCACCTCAAAGACTATTGGCTGAAAGAATCATGTTGTTGATTTCAGATTTTGGAAGTCAAACCCTTATTTGCAATCTGTAAAAACATGAACAAATACCTCAACTTGTATTTCTGTCCTGCACCTCAGTAATGATTCAGAAATTGGAATTGGGTGGGAAGTTTACACATGAACAAGTCCATTGTGTTAAAAGTATTTTAAAGAATTAACTTTGGTTGTAAAGTTTGGATTTTATATAAAAAAATAGAAAGCCACAGATTTTGAGAACCTGTTTTTTTGAGAATCTATGTTTAGGAAACATAAATAAAAGACTTAATTCAATTGTAGAGAGAACCCTAAAATAGATTAAAAGCCTGTTCAAATATGTTAAGAGAAACTTGAGCAAAGGTCATAGAAAATAGTGTATAAAAAGATGGTTTATACCAGGTGGTGGCAGTGGAGGTGATGCACATCTCTAATCCAGCACTCAGGAGGCAGAGAGGCAGGCAGACTGTGAGTTTGAGGCCAGCCTGGGCTACAGTGAGTTCGGGGACAACCAAGGCTGCACAAAAATAACCCTGTCTTTAAAAAAAGATTTACATCATACTGATAACCAAAATTTAGAACACTAATAACAGCAAATGCCGGAGAGGGTATGGGAGGCATACACATTCACTGCTGGTGGGGACACAAAACGCTGCAGCTGTTTTGAAACAGTTCAGCAGTTCAACTGTATTCTTAACATATACCTTATCTTTACATGGGAAATACCAAGAAGTGCTAACAGAAGTTACTGGGTTTATGTAATTATTAATTATCAAAATTGTGGAGTCACTGATTTAAGTTAAAAATTAGTCATTTAGATTCTTGGGCTATCTTATGTCTGTATGTGTTAACCATTGATAACTCTAATAGGTATGTGGAGAAAAACAAGCTAATGTTTTTTCCATACATTAAGTGTAGGAGGTCCACATTACTATGGTACAACCTTAATTGTACATGGTTGCCTTCATTTGTTAATAAAATTTTCAAACTGTCAGCTATGCTGTTGTCATTGTACAGATATGCAGTGTCATTTTAAATGCAAATAACAATTTCCCTCTTCTTTATCTTTAGTTTACTTGTCTTCTTGTTACACCAATACTAGAGAGTATGGCTTCATACATAACAGTCTGAAGCAGTGCAGGCTTGATGTAAGCTGTGACCTGCAGTTCACATGGCAGTTTGGAGATACAAAGCTGGTTCGAAATGAATTTCTCGAAAAACAGTTTTCTGTTAAGAGGTAAGTGTGTGTGGCTGACACATGTTTCAGATTATTTGTTTTTAATCATGGAGTCATGTTAATTTATTTCTGTCACTTGAATGTTAATAAGTATTACTAAGAAAATAAACATACATTTATTTAATAAGAATTACTAAGGAAAAGGTAGGGCTAAAGTGAAGTGCTTTGTAACACGATAAATAAAAGACACAGTGGCTGATACTGTACTTCTTAAGGACCCTAGGATTTTCAGACAGGTGATGAATGGTGCTTGGCCTTAATTTAATGTCACTAGTCGCATTAGTTCCTAGAGAATCTGTCCTTTGAAGTAGATATTAATTTCTATCAGGCATGAGAGTTGTAGATTATGTAGCAGAAATAATGAGTAGAACACTGGTGAGTGTCTGCCATCAGTTACCTCAGCTGATCTGGAAACAAGGGTTCAGCTTCTCCACTTGGCACTTGACACTGTGAAGACTCTTAACCTTCAGGGAGCAGCCCATGATACCTGCAGAGTCCCATAGATCCCTCATCTCAGCCCCCACAGCTTTGTAGTGTCATGGCATGTTCTCAGCTAGCCATTGACCTAAGGGAATGTTGTGACTATTGATCTTCTATACAAACTACTAAGATTTCTCATCAGCAAAGAGTATTTTACTTAACATAGATGGATATTCACTGAATTACTAGGGTTAATGGTCTTTAAGACCAGTTCTTTTGTTTTTACAACTGACTGGTGCAAGAAGACTTGTATTCATCCTCTTCCAACCTGGAGCATGCATTCTTTGCTAAGGTTAACATTTCAAGATTTTCATCAAAAGAGAGAGGTATGTCCTTAAAGGCCAGTATAAGGTTATGAGATGGCCTAATTTAAGTAGTATTTTGTCTGAGGACTAGGAGGCCTAAGAAAGAGATGGGAGAATGGCCAATCTACAGAATATTCAGAGTGTGCATACATACATACACATGACATCCCCCAAAACTTTGAAAAATAATACTCTAGGTCAAAGATCATCATAGAAGATGTAATTAAAGAATGCTTACAGTATTGACTGAATTAGTAAAATATGAAGAGATAAAACAAATGAATATATGCTTTTGAAGTTTAAAAAAAATTGATAGACTTATTGAATAGACAATACTAGACTGCCATAAACCATGGGGGCCAATAAAATGACATACTGTGTTATTCCAACCCTGTCACTATTACTTTGGCTAAAACATAAGGTAGCTCAGTACATTTTGAACCTTATTCTCCAATTGTTTGTGACAACAAAAACCTGCTAGATATTTGAGATCAAAGTGAGTAATAAAGCTTAAGATTTTGTACTGGCTACATTAAAAGTGTTACCAGAATTGTTATCCATTCAAGCTATCCATTACTCCTGGACATGTAATCTTGAACTTGGTTTCTAGATGGTTTTCAGTCCTAACTTAACCTAGTGTAAGTTATTAAGTTAGTACCTCTGATTTGGGGGGGGCGGGGGAGGGAGCGCAGTACTTTCTGCTTTCTTTGAGAAACTGAAATAGCTTATCTTTTTGAAAATTCTAGTTTAATTGTGTATATCATTTGTTTTTACTTAGGTCAGAGATGCGTGAGAATGGAAGACATGGCAGAGAATCGGAAGAACATTTCTGTTTCTTAGCACTTCCTCAGAGTGATGCGGTAGAGATCTACCAGAATGGGCTAAGTACCAAAGCATCCACACTGAAGATACTTGGGAATCCTCTTCTTGGAATTTATATGTTTAGACATGTTGATGTTGCCCTGAATTACGCTCATAGTCGAAGCACTACTGTAGAAACGATTATGATTTTTAAGGTGGGTAGTAGCATAAGACAAATACTAAATATAGGAACAATTTACTGTCAGCATGAACACAGTTTACTTTCAGCTTAAATTATCTTAAATGGAATTCCATAAAATACTTTGTCATCCTTTGGAATTTTCCCTTTTTCTTCACTCTTTACCAGACTGGCACAAAGTAAAACTTAGGTACTAAAAGGCAGCACTCATCATCATTGCCTCCTTAATACATACTTTTTCTGGATTCATTATTCCCTCTTTTTAATTTTTTTATCATACTATATAGCACCATAATAGTTTGTGTCCTCTGGTTATATAATTATAAGCTAGCCTTATTGAGATATTTCAGTTAATAGCATTATTCTAATGTCTGGTATTTTTAGTAGATGTGCAATGCTTGTATGAAATGATAATTTTGAGCAGAGTAGGTAGATTAGACCTCAGAACACAAACCTATGTGTGTGTATTGTTTAGAGTAAAATACAATAGCCACCACTAAAGTACCATACCCACCTAGCATATGATGGAATTTTCATATATCCTCTCTCAGATATGATATATCCATTATCGTTAGATGGACAAGCATTTTTTTTTTAAGTTTCATTTACCTTTATGTGTATGGCTGTTTTCACCTGCATGTATGTAAGTGCACAACATGTGTGTCTGCCCCACAGAATCCAGAAGAGGGCTTTGTCTCCTCTTGAAATGGAGTGACATATAGTTGAAAGCTGCCCTATATATGCTAGGAACTGAACTTGGGTCTTAATTAGTCTAGGTTGTTTTGTTTTATTTGTTTGGTTTGTTTTTCAAGACAGGGTTTATTTGTCATGGGCCATGGGAGGAGGGTTCTCGAAGGCTAGGTGGGTAAGGATTCGGCAGAGACAAAAAGAAACACAGAGGCAATTTGAATCTGAGTGTATTTTGTAGCTTTCAAGCAAGGCTTTTTATCCAGGATAAAGAATATCTTCTCAGAGATTGTGTTCATTAAAGCACATCTAGATAGAAGAAATGACATCATCGTTTTTAGGCATAGTAACATAAAACTTACTCAAGGCTAGCAATAAATCAAAAAATCATTCAAGGCTAACCATAGCTAAGCACTTATTTTCTAAGATCAGGTTAATAAATTTTTATGGTCAGTTATTGTTTAACATTTGTTGCCTAGCTCTTGTGAATCTTTTAAATATTGAGCTATTTTGACTTTCTTATCAAAAGGCTTTCTTTACCAAACATTTAAACCTACTCTCAATTATACATGTATATCCGAATGAAATTTTATTGTTGGGAAAGTTTTCATCAATACTATTTGTACTTGTGTGAATGACGTGAATGATTTGAAAAGCACTGGTTTTCTTGGAAATGAGGTCAATGACCATGTCTCGGGTTGGGTTCTTATTTATATCTTTTATTTAAAATGTCAGCATAAGCTTTCAGGAACATTTTGTTAATATGAGAAAAGAATAGAAGAACAGAGATTGCCATGAGAACTCAATACTTTTCTCCAGCCAAGAGTTCCACAACCGGTTCCAGGAGATCTCCTTCTTTGGAAGTTATCACTTCAGTCTGTGGAACTTGTCACACATAGACTACTGGATTTGGTGTGGCAGTGCATAGAATTTGCAGCTAGCCTAGTGTGTATTTAAGTAGCTACTTTAATCTGTTATATTTACTTGAGTCATTACAATAAAATGATCTTTTAATTTTTGAAAAAGGAAATGTAATTACATAGCTTATATAAAATGTCCACTTTGGTGATATTTGTCCTTCAACTCACCTTTGATCACTCATTCATGGTTCAGACCATTTTACATTGTATGCTTGCTTGGTTTATCATATGAGAAGCTTTAAACAATTACATAGTGAATCTGCCTGGTTTTGGCTCATCAGTTCTTGGTCACCATTCTTCAAAAAGACTTTCCTTTTGTTTTTGTTTGCTTATATTTCTTCCATGATATTCCACACTGTTTCAATACTTGAATGTTTATTTTGTGCAATATTTATTTTTGTTTATGCATCTTAAGAGGAATTTAATTTTTTCAGTTGTCCTCTTGGTTGAATTTTCTTCCTCTTGGTAGAATTTTCTGCCTCGCTTTATTCAAATGGTACTTCTAATTAATTACAAACCATATTTTGGACCTGATGGCACATGCCTATCATCCTAGCACTTGGAAGGTAGAGATATGAAAGTTATCACAAGTTTGAGGCTAGCCTTGTCTACATAGCATGTCTCAGGCTAGCCAGAACTTTACAATGAGACCATTTCAAAAACCAAAAGCTGAAAAATAATTCTATAATGTTTTGCTGTCTACAATTCTACAATTATGTCATCTGGTCTCTCCCACCATTCTGTTTCTAGCTCAAATATTCATAGAGTCTTTCATACATACTTTCACTGTAAACATACTTCTAAAAGATTTTTCTGAAATTTTTATTAGATGTCACTCTAATCTCAGACCTTAATTTGGGAAATAAGTGGTATAACTGTCATGTTAAAACATCTCATTTATCCAGGGCATAGAATAATAGTTTTATTAATATATTGCTATTAAAACCATGAGGCCTTAAAAGTATTTGGTTGTTGTCTTTTGCTTTTTAGGTTCTCTTTGGGAAAGTAAAGAAAATTCAGCCTTCTATGGATCAAAGCAAAGTGTCTCTGGATCCTTCTCCTAACTTTGATTGCCATATGTCAAGAAATATGCCATCTCTGAAAGATACCATTGAGCTACAAGCCTACAATTCAATGGTATGTTAATGCTAGGGTTCCTTTGATGACTTGAAAGACACATGCTTAGTACAGAAAAATTTTAGATGCCATATACTTAATCCCTAAGTTGACTGTCAGCTTTGCTTTTGAACAAGGCTTCACAATGGCAAAACTACTATCAGTCATTTATATTTTAAAGTCACTAAAAGTAAATTTCAAATATTTCACCACTGAAGATGGATGATGGTGGATAAGATTATAGATACTTTAACTTGATTAACTCAGTTCTGATATATAAGAACATCACACGGAGGCCTGGGAAAGATAGCTAAGTTGATAAAGTGCATGCCTTGCAAATATAAAGACCTGAGTTCAATCTCCAGAACCCATGGGGGTGGCGGGATGACCAACCCAGATGTAGTTGTGTATGCATGAAATCCTAGTGCTAGGGAGGCAGATAAAGAGGGTCCTAAGGCTCACTTGCCAGCCAGCTTGGTGAATTATAAACTGTGAGATAGATAACCTGTCTCATGAGAGGGACACTTAGGAGTGACACCCAAGGTTGACGTCTGTCCTCGACATGTAAATGTTAGTGCGCACACACATGCATACAGCAACAGAAGTCACACTAGACCCTGTAAATGTGGCCAGTTATAATGTATCAATTAAGACAATTTTGAACAATGGTATTGATTTTTTTTTATACTTTGGAAGAGGATCAAAGGAAAGCTTTATGAACTGACAAGTAATAGTAGTTTTTTAGTTACACTTTGCTTACTTTGTAATAGAATATTAAGTTTTGTGTTTTATAAGTAAAAATAAGTATTAGGAATATACATGTTTATGTTAATTATTAATATTATGTTGGCTTTGAAATAGGTCTCAGAACATATGCAGTGCATTTTTATAGAAAGTACTACTTATTTTAAAACAGTATTGTGCTTTTGCCAGTATTAGTAGCTTCCAAGTAAAAATATGTGGTGAGAAGAGGAAAAGGGATTTTATATATCCTTAACAAACCTAGAGTTAAAAGATGATTGAGGGATTGCTAGAGTTGTCTTCTCAAAGGAAATATTAAGAGACAGTTAATGCTTATGTAGCAGAGCAAGGCAAGCAAGAAAGATGGAACTGTACTGTCCCACAATGGGGGAGCAACACACCAAATTCTGTGTTGTGGGTTGTTTTGTGACTATTGTGGCATGGATAAGGTAACCTTTTCTCTCCCAGATCATACTAGAGCTCTTCATCAAAATCACAGAGTATATGGTTTGTAATGAAGCCATGGTTCCTCAAGATGCCGACGCCTCTGTTATTGCTCACATGTGGGACAGTGCTCTGGTGCCTTGGTTTTGACATAGAAGGAACAACCTCTGCATCCTTGAGGTTATTTAACCACAAAGCAGCATTCTGACTATCAAGAGGCAGAGCTACCCAGATATATATAAGTAATGGGGTTTTGTTGTTGTTGGGGATTTTTGTTTGTTTTGTTTTGTTTTTTTGCTGCCTTTTGTCTAACTCCTTTTTGAGTGAGACTGCTCAAGGTTCATGATCAATCTTTTTTAATAATTTATTTTATGTGCTTTTGTGCTTTGTCTGCATGTATGTAAGTAAGGGTGTCAAGATTCTGGAGTTAGACAGTTAGCTGCTATGTGGGTCTGGGAATTGAACCCAAGTCCTCTGAAAGATCAGTGTTCTTAACCACTGAGCCATCTCTCCAGCATTCTCATGATTAATCTTATGGTTTAGATACTCCACTGCAAAGCTGGGGCCAGAGTTTTACAATAGTTTGATTTTTTTTTTTTTATGTCTTTCAGGTATATTTCTATGAATATGATTTCTTTTCAAGACCAGTAGATAGACCTAGACAGTGTCTTCCATATGCAGTAGTAACAGTAAAATTTATTGGTCAAAAGGCAGGTAATGGACAACTTATGACATCACTGAGATTCCCCTCCACAGGATTTCCTAAGAGGCTTGGTAAGAAACATTCACTATTCAAGTATGCTGGTCTTAAATTCCGAGTATTCTAATATATTGTGTATCTCTAACCCAAATAGTTGTGTTTTACCTGCCTTCTCCATTTTATATATCTAGGGTCATAGGCACATAATTTTACTACTCTGACTTAGTATTTGTTCATGTAACTTTTCTGTGTTGATAGCTGCCACAATAGTTCATACATTTTTATGGATGATATTACTGTATTGGAAAAATTTAGGTACCTTAGAACTTCTTATTCCACATTGCTATTTGTATAAGGGTCTTGATGCTACTGTGCTAGTTCTATTTGGAATATGTATTAACACTTACAGTATATAGCTTAAACTGTAGATGATGTCATGTGAGTTTCTAAAGTGGTTGTATCAGGTGCACAAGGTTACATAATCTACATGCTTGACAATACATAAAATTTTAATAGTATCATTTTTACTAGTCTAGTGATTATTTTATGTTAGATCATTATTTTACAATTTTCTTACTGTCATCCCTCAGCATGTATCAGATCATAGCTTTGGATTCTGTTATGCTAGAATATATGATTTTAAAAATTGTTATTGGAGTTGTTGACATCTATAAGTGAATTGAACTTATACTTAAGACAGAATTTCTAACAATTTCATAAATGGCTATCAACATAGTCCCATTTATAGGGAAAAATTTTCTCACCATTGATAATTATAAAATCAAACCAATTAACTCTTAAAAGATACTGGAAATACTTAGAGTACCAATCAGCCAACATTTAATTTTCATGTAAAAATAAGCAACTCCATCTCATTTATATACAGGTTTGCTTTTTAAGTCAAAGAACTGTTTAAAAGTGAGTTCATTATTTATTATTAGTAAATGTTTAATTTGGATATCTACTTTATATAGCTTTATATCTAGAATCAAGAAAAATTTCTCAAGACAAAGAGAGCACATTTACTTCTTAAGCTTTGGCTAACATCAAGTGTAGTGTCTGTTCTTAGCAGTTTAATATCTGATGCACCCTCTATCTAAGAACAGTTGTCAGTTGGATAAGAGAGGGAATGAGGTAGGTAAATGTGGGCTTGAAATCACTAAAAATTAAAAAAATAAATAAGCCTTTCTGTGCATTCCTATTTATATAGGAAATTGTTTGTTTAGTTTTCCTTACATAACAGGTCTTTATAATACAAGATTCCTCTAGAGTCCGATTTACTTCTTTAGGATCAGTAGTAAATAATTTGAGTCTATTTATTGATGAGGGCCCTTTTCTCGGATGTTTTGATAAGGTCTTGTTGCTATTGTGTAAATACTTTGGATCCCAAGCATTTGGGTAAAGGACATTAAATCTGTGAAACTTCCAAGGATGCTTACTATACTATGGCTGCAGAGAAAGAGTTTATAGGACTTTTCCCTGCTTTAAAAATTTTATATTTTATTTACATCTGTGTGTTGCCATGTGTGGCTAACACCTCGGAGGACAACTTTATTTTTCTTTGGAACATGGTGTTTGACTTTATTCTTGACAATGTTCAGGTGGTTTTACACACTGAAAGTTAACCTAGATGTTGCTGTACCAGCAGCACTTGTGAGGTATTTGCCAAGTGCCTGATAGTGACACTCTGAGTTTTTATAATTTTTATTGTTTTAAAGCAAGTGTTTTGTACTTTTCAAAAAGTGCCAAATTTGTTAGTATTGCATGTAAATAATTGTGTTATTTCTTTTATTTGTAGCAGAACTTCTATTTACAAAACATTTGTTTATAAAGTTTCACGGATTTTTACAGTGAAGTGTTTATTACACTTGTTAAAGAATTGTATGTATATTTTGTATGGGATTTTTTTTTTTTTTTTTTTGTAAATCCTTAAAATAAAACCCTCACCTTTAGGAACTAGAAATAGAAACAATTTTTTATACTTAAAAAGCTGAAAAGCCTCCAGGCTAGCCTCTTACAGGTTGTATGCGAAGGGACAACTTTTTTTTTTTTTTTTTTTTTTAACATTTATTTATTTATATATATAGTTATGTTTGCAATATTCTGCCTGCATTTATCAAGGAGGCACCAGATCTCATTATAGATGGTTATGAGCCACCATGTGGTTTCTGGGAATCGAACTCAAGACCTCTGTACGAGCAGTCAATGCTCTTAACCTCTGAGCCATCTCTCCAGCTCTCAGAGGACAAGTTTTAAGAGGTCGTTTCTTCCACAACTGTGTCCTGGGAATTCAGTTCAGGGTATCATCAGGCTTGATGACAAACACCATTTCCCCTGAGCCATCTCTTCTGCTTCTTTCCTACTTTTTGATTCATTGTCATTTGCTGCCTTTTTTCCCCTCCATGGTAAAAGTAAAAGAAGCAAAGTGACAGCAGGTAGAGACCATTTTGCCTATTAGTGCATAAATGTTGCAATCAAGTATTGAAAGTTAGTATAAGGAACAATCTCAACGAAAAATGTTCTCCTATTTACTTTTTTCTCTGTATTGTTAAAACAGGGTAATTGAGGCCAACCTCACACTCAGTAGCCAAGGATGGGTGACCTTTAACTTGTGAAAATGCCTCAGTCTCACAAATTCTATGATTACAGGTGTGTACCCTCACACCTGGTTTTATGCAGTTGTGGAAATTGAAAACTCAAGAGCTTCCTTCATGTTAACTGGTAGCATATTTACCAACTGAGATGTAATCTAATAGAAATCTGGGGATACAGACACATTTTTTTAAAAGTTGCTTAAACAAAGGTTATACATTCATTCATGGTAACATTTTATTCCTTACTGGTTTGTTGCTTATTTTCTTACCACTGTTTTTTGTGCTTATCACCATTGGGCTATTAAAAGAACTCTCAGTTAAACTTACTCATGATGTTTTTTTGTATTTATGTTTCCACAGAAAGAGCCTGTTCTCTGAATAACTGTACAGTTGCCAAAAGAATTGGAAAAGGAAAAGATGCTACAGTCATCTTCGAGCACTTCAGGAAACCTGTTGATCCATTTGGTCAGGAAAATTGTCCGTGCAATGCACTAACTTCAGAGATGGGTTCTTCCAGCTTGGAGTCCTCTAGTTCTTATGGAAGTGTGCCCAATGGAAACAATTCTGTGTTTGAAGCATACAGCAGACAGACAAATAATTCATCAGAAGTTAGAGATTCTTCTCAAGTACACACACACAATTCAGGTCTTTCTTTCATGCCCACTGCTAATACAGCAAGTGACAATGGTGACCTCTTCAGTGTGACATATCTCAGAAGTATTTTAAGTAGTGTTTCTGCTGTTCTTCCTTCTCAGAGCAGTACTGACTCAAGTACAGTTATCACTTCAAAACTTATTAAGGACCCAAGACTGATGAAGAGAGAACAAAGCATGAGGAAACAAAATAACACTGCGGGTTTAAGTGATGGTTTGTCATTTGATAAGAGTGTGGGTCATGGCAATTCAGAAATAAAGCTGACATGTACGGCAACTAGCTCAGTCTCTTCACCTGAGACTGCCCTTGCTGATCATACTCTTACCAATTGCTCAGATACCTCCTCCTTCAAATTCTCTTCTGAAAGACCATGCTGTCAGACTCAGAATATGGGCTCAAGGGACTGTGACTGTACAGCATCCAGGAAGATTGCCGTTACAGAGCAGTGTAAAGAGCAAAGCACTTTTTCTTTCCCTTGTTACTTACCAAATTCATTTTTAGATGTTGGGAAACAAAAATACAATGAAGAGGAGGCCCAAAAGAAAAGCAGCAACTCATCTTTAAGTGAGCAAAGCAATTTGCCACAGAACAACTTTGAATTAGAAAAAAATAGTTGTAATAGTAAAGACTATCAGAGTCATATCTCTATGGCATCATGGTCTTCTGATTTAAATAGTATATGTAAAGATGGTCACAAGATGTCTGCAGTCTTCCCAGTCCAGAAGAAAGGAAACATAGATGAGTATGAACAAAATACTGGAATTATGACAACCTTCATCAGCCCAGAAGACAGTTCTAAACATGTAGTAAACCAAACTTTGTGGAAAGGAACTGTTAATTATTTTACTGATAAAACTACAAGTAGCCCAGTTGATATTACATTGCACCAGGAACGCAAAGAATGTGGAAATCTTAATTCTTTAAGGGAATATTGTAAAAAAATACCAGTTCCTCATAAGTTACAAATGCCCAAAATTGCCATGTCTACCAAAGAGGATAAAAATGAAAATAATGCAGCAGTGGGATTAGAGTGTGATCTTACTCCAGACATAGACTGCCTTTTACAAAAGCATCCTCAGTATTCTTTGGAGCACAAAGATAATGTGGCTCAAGAGCTGACAGAATTGAAAGCAGTACAAAATAACCAGAACATCATTAACAAGACTGATGCTTTCCAGGAAGCAAAAGATGTTACCCTGGCCAACGAACAACTCATTGATAGAGTTATTTCATCTTCTGCCATTGATGTATCTCTTGACAGTCCAGGTTGCAACATAATTGCAGAATGTATGTACATCCAGAGGGAAAATAAAAATGAGGCAGTATCATTGTATAACCTTCAAGAAGACTGCAAAGAAACTTCTCATTTTAAAGATGATAAGCAGGAGCACTACCTGTGGTATGATGCTGACTTGAGCTCTGATCCAAACTTGAAAATTAATTTGCAAGAACAAAGAGATTTTGAAAATCCAAATGAGGCTAAAGAGAAAGATAGTGTTTCATCTCTAGAGTATAATACAGAGAAACAAGATTTTCATGCAAATATAGTTGAAATGAAGGAAATCGAGAGTAACAACAAAGTAGAAATCTTGAATTCTGAAGAATGTTCCACATTTAATTCAACTTGTGAGAAGAAAGGTTTACCAGTAAAGTTTACATTATCAGAGAGTGAAAATAGTATGGCTTCTATAAAACAAAGACATACACCAAGTGATAGAAAAAGCGTGGACCACTTGGTGCCCACATTTCCAGAAATTGAAGCTTCTGTGGTGTGTGTAGCCTCCAGTGCTACAAAACAAGTTATTAATACTACTGTTCTTACATTAAACACACATTGTGAGGATCATCAAAACCACCAGCTGAAAGAAACTTGTGCCTCTGAGATTTCAGATTTAGGTTTAAGAAAACATGGCATTTTTGATTGTGAGATTGATACTGATAAAGAGAAATTACAAGATTTTTCCCAATTAGTAAATGAGACTTCAGGTCTTCAAACTTTTGAATTGGGAAGTGAAATTGAAGTTCAACTTGAAGATTGTAACAATGCTTCTTTGCTCCCACAAAATATAGATAGCCAGGCAAATGTTCTTTGTGAAGAATTTGAGTTATATAATTCCCTAAAGTCCCGGATTGATTGGGAAGGTATATTTGTAAACACTAATGAAGAGATGGAAACTTCGAGTTTTGCTGGAAGGGAAAGTACTGATCCACATTCTACAGAATGTAATTGTGTTTCTTTGTTCGCACAAAAAGACAAAAGAGAGCTCCACAACCCAGTTTTTCTTCCAGATCTACAAGTTACAATTACAAACTTAATTAATCTAAGAATCAGTCCCATTGATGATTACATAGAGTCAAAAGATAATTTTTACAAACGTGTAACTGAATCCACAGAACCAGAAGCAAATGAGGAAGGGAAAGCTTTTGGATTTAGCATATATTCCCAGACTTCTGAAGAAAATTTAGGTTTTTCATGTGAAAATAAATGTGGTAATTCAGTGCAAGAATCAGTACATTTGAGCAAATCTGGAATTTCCCATTCTTCCAACTCAGTTCATAATACACATGTAAATCACATGTCTGGAAAACCGAACACTAACACTTTTCCTACTGAACCATGTAATGTCGCGGTCACCAATGTCAAAAGCAAATGTCCCACAAAATCAAAACCCGACATTAATGACACTAGAAATAAAAAGGACATGGAATCCAGAAGTGGCAAAAGAAACCTGCATGCATCTTCAAGGGGACAGAATATTTCCCATAAAGATTTAAGGCATCGTGAAACTCATGAGAAGAGAAGAAAAACAATGAGTCATGACTCATCTGAATGTTTTTCTTCCGTATCCCAAGGGCGAATTAAAACATTTTCACAGTCAGAGAGGCACATTAGGAATGTACTGAATATTCTAAATAATGAAGCATCTTTATGTAAAAGCAAACATTTGTCCAGAAAACTGGATAAAGCTGTTCTTCACTTAAAAAAAGCTCATAGAAGAGTTCATACATCTTTGCAGCTTATATCTAAAGTGGGAAAAAAGAGAAAGGGCCCATTACCAAAAGCATATTCAGTAATATGCAATAATTTCTGGGAAAGTTGTGATCTTCAAGGTGATAGTTGGATGTCTGAAAGAAGATCTACTAGGCATTTTTTGTCCAAAAGAAGGTATGACAAACAGGGAGAGAAAAGATTGTTAAGACTTGATATTGATGAATCATTGACGTCAGTATCAAAGCACAGATCTTACAGAACAAAGAGAGCGAGAATTACAGAGTGTCTTTCCAGCAGAATCATGTCTGGCAGGGTCTCCAGGAGTCTCACCACTTTCCATGTGAGAGAATTCTGTGGTGGAGAACAAGTTCACAAGTCACAGTTACCCCTACCCAACACATCCCAGAGTATAAGTCAGTCAGAGGACACTGATAGCATTGTGAGAAATGCATGCTCTTCTGAACTTGAATATTTTTCTGAAACAAGTGGACACACAATTTACCCAGATGAAACTCGAAGTGAAAAAGAATATCAGACTGATGCACAGATACCTAATAGTGACTCTACAAAGTGTGGAAACCATTCAACATATAATATTGAAGATATAACAAAAGAAAATAATTCTGAAGATAAAACAGTGGTATGTGAAAGTAACTTATTATCTTTAAGTTCCATGAAAGAAAATATTAGTCATAGTCAAGATAAAGGTCATGATTTAACTTTTAAAGCTAACACTGATAATATAGTTTTAGACTCAGACAAACACTTTTTAAATGTCAGTATCTGTGAACATGATAACCTTGTATCTGATGGTACTACAAATGGGGAAACAATTCTTCCTATAGAAAAGTGTACAGTTCTTAGGGAGATCACACCAAGCATTCCTACAGTAAATGTGCCACCATTGTCACCAATTCCAGTGACAGCTGGTGTGGAAGAATCTGTGGTGGGAAATGGACTTGTCCATGTAAAGGGGAATGAAGTAAATATCACAAAGCATTCTAAATTGGATCTAATGTCAGTAACTGGAGAAAGTAAAAGTTGTAAGAAAAGTACTAAACTATCTTCCAGTGATACTTCTCTGCTCTTAAAAGAGAATGTAAAGGGTCCTTCAAAAATATATATGGCAAAATACATTGAAGAAGAAAAATTGAGAAAAGTTGAGCACGGAGTTTACCAAAAAACGATTGCTGAAGGATCAGCTATTGTTACTGGGTACAAACGTCAAAATAAGATTCTGAAAGAAGGCTCCTTCCACTCGCACAAGAAAATAATTAAAAACAGCTTGACTGATTCTTGTCTGGGAATTAATAATTCTACCCAAGAGAAAATTGCTTTGAAAAACATTCCTAGTCAGCTTAGCAAAAGACAGAAAGCAGGGCAAATTAAACAACAATCTGACTGTCCCTCCAAACCAGCCACTGCAGGAACCAGTCATAGGCAGGTTATAAATGAGAACTCTGAAGTCACTGCTCCTCAGAAGAAGGCTCCAACACATATGCAGGGATTAATAGAAGAACATGGTATCCTTAATTACACATCTCGTATAACAGAGCTGTCTCACATTTTACAGAGAGCAGATAAAGCAGTATCTTTGCAGGTTTTAGAAGAAGAGACTAAAGTTTGTCAAAATCTTCTCCCTTTATTTGTTAAAGCTTTTGAAAGAAAGCAAGAATGTTCACTTGACCAAATCTTGATTTCAAGAAAGCTGATGGTAGAACAGAATTTGTGGGATAATTGTAGACTTAAATTGAAACCATCTGCTGTTGATACTTGGGTAGAACTTCAAATGGCAATGGAAACTATTCAGTTCATTGAAAACAAAAAAAGATTCTTAGAAGGTGAAGCAACATTCCGAAGCTTGCTGTGGTATGATGAGAGCTTGTACAGTGAGCTGCTTCCCAGGCCACATGGATATCAGCTCCAGTCCAATTTCTATCCTGCTTTTCAAAGACGATTAAAATATAATGCATTCTGTGAGTTACAAAGTTATTATCATCAGCTAGTTGAAATCTTAACAGAAACAAAAAAAGAAAATAACTCATATTATGCATTCTTAAAATACAAACGTCAAATTAAAGAATGTGAAGCCATAATGAGGCACTATTCTGATTGCTTTGACTTTTGTCTTTCTGTTCCGTTTACCTGTGCAGTTAACTTTGGAGATACTTTAGGAGAATTGGAAGCCTTAAGAAAAAGTATTCTGAAGCTGATCAGTATGCATGCAGGTACTCCTAAAGTCCAGTCTTACCCAGGAAAGAAAGACCAATTGTGGATCATTTTAGAAGTGGTCTCCTCAAAGATTAGTTTTATCAAGAGCAATGAAGAAATAAGTATCAAAATTTGTCTTTATGGTCTGGAACATATATATTTTGATGCTGCAAAAAGTCTTGTGTGGAAAGAGAAAAGCCACTCTTATCGCAAAAGACATTCTGAAAAGAATAGAGAAATGGAGGTGATAAATGAATGTGCTTTTTCTAAGTGGGAAAAGATCTATGATGCCATGTCTAAGGACTTACATAATGAATCAGCTCCCAGCATTGGGCTAGAAAAAGATATGATTGCTTCCAGACAGTCAGCTCTAGTTAGCCTACCAAACTGTGAGCTAAACAAAGCTTGCATTTCATACCCAGATATTTGTTGTATTAGTGAGATACTGGATCAAGCTAAATCTGCAGACCTAGAGACATTACAGGATCTCACTCTAAGATGTACAGTTCACTTAGAAATTCTAAAAAAATACTTCCAGATGATGCAAGAAGAAAATATAGATAATATTTTTATCACTGAAGAAAATATTTTGGATATACTAAACCACAACCATGGAGCTGTCATTTTAAAGCCTGAAGCTGTTGAGAGTTATATTGAAACTGTCATGCTCTCAGAAACCATTCATTTTCTTAAAAATTCAATAGCAAAGAAACTGAACAATCAGAGATTTCGAGGTATGCTCTGGTTTGATTGGTCTCTTCTTCCTGAGCTTGTTGGCTGCCAAAAAGAAATGGCATCATTTTCATTTGATTACAACCAAACAGATTGCCTTTGGAAAGTGATAGAGACGGCTATTTCTCACCTTAGGAAAGAGCTATGTGTTCTCTGTGACTACAGTGAAGCTGTTAATTGTTCCTATGCTCTATGTTTATTTTCCAGAGAACTTAAGGAACTTTTGGAAATTAAAAAGCTTCTAAATACATCTAAATATTCACTTTCCACATACATTGACTTGGCCCCATATACCGCATGTGTAAATTATGGAAACACTGTGGAAGAATTGGAACATAACTACAACCAGCTTTTTACATTACTCAAAAATATAATGTCTGTTCCTCAGAAAGATTTTGGGAAAATGGTCCATATAATAAAAGTTCTGAAGACAATTGAACATATGAAGATGATAAGGGCTAAAGGGACTGCTAAATTGTCCACTCATCTCCTGTTTTTCCAAATGCTGCGTAACAGAAGGAACACTTTGCAACTGAAAAGAAAAGAAAAGATGGACACATATACTACAGAACCTGAAGAGAACAGCAGTCAACCTCATATTTCTGTGCAGACACCCTCAACTGCAGGGTGCACAACAAAAAACATTGCAAGTTCCTCTAAAAAACGTCCTGTGACTACAGACATCTGTGAAGTCTCCCAGGGAAAAGGAAATACTGATGCAGTTTCCAATTGTAAAAAGCAAAAGGTACAAATGTTTTGAAATCAAACTTGAAAAATACTCTTGAAAACAAGCTTACAGAAACAAAATGACTCATATTCTCTACAGAATTATATAATTGAGATACCTTGCAGATACATATTTGTCATTTATAAAATATTTCATGAAAGTAAATTCTAATATCTAATAGAGGGCAAGTTCATTATTGTAAATGTAAGTTTTCCAATGACCAGTTATTTAATGAGTGGTTTCATTAGCCAGTGTTGTGAACATTAAAAATTGGCTGTAGTTTCCTTCCTGCTTAACCTGTTAGAAGACTATAGGGCAGAAGTGTTTTTGGAGACAGGGTTTCTCTGTAGTCTTGGCTGACCTGGAACTTGCATTGTAGACACACTGTCCTCAAACACAGACATCTGCCTGCCTCTGCCTCGAAAATGCTGAGATTAAAGGTGTGCACTGCCACCACCACCTGACAGATATTTTAAATAAGAGATTGTCAAAGAGTTAGAGAAGTATCATATGAATACATTTAATCAACATTTATATGATATATAAAGTAATGAAAAATTCACAAAATCCATAGGATATATGCCCTGTTAACGTTTAAAAGATGAGGGGGCCAGGTGTTTATTTTTATCACATTGATGTTTGAACCCAGACTCTGCATGCTAGGCAAGTACTATATCCATGGACCTGTGCTTCCAATCCATTTTAACTGGTGGCTAAGAAGAATGAGAGGAGGCTTGAGGGAAGTTGTTAGGCATGTGCATTCATGGAAGGAGTGGGGGGACGTTAATCCAGATATAAATACAGGCCTAAGGAAGTAGAACATTATCCTTACATATTAAAATGTAATGTGTGAAATATGTTCATTTTTAAGGTTTTGTTTGCTTTTATGTTGGTGATATTAAAGTTAAATTCTGAGTATAGTTAGAGATGGTAAACCAGCCAATTAGAAAATGATGCTGTTTTATAGCATTAGAATGGAAATGCAGGGTGCTTAATAGTGCTAGCCCAAAAGTGCTTTAGATTTTGGCATTTTCTAGATTTGATCATATATATATGTATATATATATGATCAAATATATATATATGTATGTATGTATACACACACACACACACATATTTGTCAGATACCTTGGTAATGGAACCAATGAAATTCATGATTAGATTACCCAAAGGTAATGTTGTAGAAATTTCTGCATGGAATAAAGGTTTCCTGTTAAGAACATTTACAGAGTGTTGTGCCATAGAACACAATACTCTGGGGTTTGGAGATTAAGAGCACTCATCTTGTATTTGTCAGAAATTCCTTAGAAAATTGATGGATAGTTGCAAATAATGTGGTTCACAGGGGTACATATAGGCAAAACACCTGTACTCATAAATTTAGAAAAATTTAAAAACAAAAGTCCTGTCTCTGAAAACAAGGAGTGAACAGTCATAAATAGACTACAAGATTAGTTTTAAATTTTAAAGTTTATGGGTTTGAAGAATATTGCAAATTTACTTTTGAAAGCAGTTTCTGTAAACATGAACTACTGTAAGCCACTGGTTTTTGAATAGGTGAACAGATTGATGCTATAATGCAGTTTGTCATCACTAATGTAAAACATGGGTTGTATTTTTATACTTTTCACAGGTTACCATGAAAGATGTAAGAAACAGACAAAACACAATATCTAAGAATCCAAGGTAGGAGTTGCGTCAACCTTCTTTTCATAAAAAATAAGGAAAATAGGTAAATAATGAAAAAACAAGAATGAAAACAATGTGAGTTATTTATAAGCTGTTGAATCATACATACAGCTTAGAGAATAAGAGTGACAGAAGTTTGTTTCAGATTAAGTGAAAACTAAGAAGGCAAATGCCGTGTAAAATGGCTGTTTTCTGTGTTGTAAAGAATTTAAGTAGACTCTGAGAACAGTTATATAACAGTTATTAGCTGGGGCTTAGAAATTTTTAAATCAGGAAAGAAAAATTCATATTAACAGGCATTGGTTAAACTTACTAGAAGTGTATAAAAGAGTAGAAGAAGTGATTAAGCTGTGGATTTTACATGCAAACTAAATTTAAAAATTGATGAAAGAGAAGTTGCCACCTTAAATCAGTGGTACATATAAATGATGTGTATTTTACAGATGTTCAATAATACAAACATTGTTTCATAGAAGGATGTTCTAATGGTATAAAATAGAGTATCTCAAAGGCAATTTCTTTAAGCTGAAGAAGTTAACTATAGAAAATTCATATTTTTATCATGTTGTGCTTTATAAATAGTGCCATTGGAGTTATTAGCTCTCATTAACCTGTGTAAAATTTGTGATTTCTCACTATCTTCAGCTTTTTTTTTCATTTAATGGAGGATAATAACAAAATATTAAAATGAAGGACAACTTTATTTCTTTCTTGAGTTTCCTCTTTTAAAATACTATGTTTCTAGAATCCTTTTGATAGCATATGTGACTGAATTACTGTTAAATGACATAAAACAGACTACTACACTATAACATACATCAGCCTAATTATCTTAGGCTTAATACCTGAGTATTTACTACTTAAAAGATTAAAACTGAGGCTGGAGAGATGGGTCAGAGGTTAAGAGCAGTGACTGTTCTTCCCAGAGGTTCTGAGTTCAATTCCCAGAAACTGCATGGTGGCTCACAGCCAACTGTAAGATTTGATGCCCTCTTCTGGCATGTAGGCATACATGCAGTCAGAACTTTGTATACATAATAAATATTTTAAAAAAAAATAAGCTCCTGCTTCACGAAAACACCAATGGTAGATGTCACTGGTACAGTGGGAGGTCTAGGGGCCCAGGATTAGGAGGCCGAGGAGAGTTCGGCAATGGGTCACAAGAGCCTCAGCAGTGGTTGAGGCCTCATGGCTTGTGGAGGTAAAGCCAAAGACAAGGAGTGGATCCACGTCACCAAGCTGGGCCATCTGGTTAAGGACATGAAGATCGAGTCCCGGAAGGACATCTATCTTTTCTTTCTGTCCATTAAGGAAACTGAGATTATTGACTTTTCTGGATGCATCCCTAAAGGATAAGGTTCTAAAGATCATGTCAGTGCAGAAACAGACACTGCTTGCTGGCCAGCAGACCAGGTTCCAGGCTTTTGTCACTATTGGGGACTACAATGGTTATGTTGGTCTTGGTGTTAGGTGCTCCAAGGAGGTAGCCACTGCTATCCAAATGGGCTATCATCTTGGCCATGCTTTCCATTGTCCCTCTGCGGTGAGTCTACTGGGGGGAACAAGATTGGTAAGCCCCACACTATTCCATGTAAATTGACAGGCTTTTATTAAAAAATTTAAGATCACTCAGCTGTCTAGCACAATATTGGGAATGGTTTGAAATGTGGAGTAAATCATCTTCAACATGAGCCATAGCAAAATTCAAATCAAGGGAGTAAAACTGAAAATTATTTTACTTGTCCCCTCCCAGTGAAATAAGAAAATATTAATCCTATGAATTCGTGTACAATAAAATTTCAAGTGTTTGTTTGTTAGAATGTTATGACTATATCTTTAAAGTTGCTGTAATTTATATATTTTTCTACTAGGACTATAGAATCTCATCCCAAAGATGAAAACAAAATAGGATCAAGTTCATCTGACAATCTGAAAGACTTTGCATCTCCAGAAATGGTCAACAGACAAAGCTCAACACCTGGCTTGCTTTCACCTTCTGAGAACATAGAATACATTTGCACACCAAAGTCAGAAAGCAAAATAGAACTGACAGATAGCTCATCTGATGCTTCAGAGTATCTCACTGAACAGCAGGAAAGCTTAAATGACAGAATTAAAAGAAATGTGAATTTTAATGCTGCTCAAACAAATGATAAGAAAGACCACCCCCTAGTAACTTGTGACCAAAAGGATATAGCTACCACTTGCTCACCTGACAACACACCTGCACAGAAGTTACTTGAAATCCCTGCAGATCACACACAGCTCTGTCCTTCAAACATAAGACCAGGAAATGATGCCCCTCTTAGGCCTAATGCATCAGTGCCTGCTTCCCATTCTGTGAGAGCCATCCATAGCAACCTTGAAATGAATAACACAGGCTTTGAACATGAAGATAAGGAAATACTAGATATGTCTATTAAAGATTGTGCATGTACCAGCTCTCCAGAGCCTGTATGTATCCAGGACAGAATTCCTGTCCTGAAAGTAGATAAAACACAGCCTATAGAAGAAGCACCAAATCCCAGTACCTCGCTTTTTGGCTCATATGGGACCTCAGCCCTTGATGTGACTCAAAGAGCAGGACATACTGTCTTTGAACAGGGTGGAAGGAATACTAAAGTCATGACTCAGAAAGTTGATACATCCTACAACACACCACCACAGCCCACATTTACTGCAGGGTATAATTCTTCTGGACATTCATTTGGAACATCATATCCATACTATGCTTGGTGCTTTTATCAGTACAGTAGCAGCAATGGCACTGCTGTTACCCGTACATACCAAGGGATGACAACATACGGGACATCACCACCTCATCCCATGATGACTGCAGTTGCAAATGCTGTCCAGAACACACATTTCAATCATTCATACTCTGAATATTTAAGCTACTTTGGTAGGCAGCCACAAACAAGTGCCTTTATCCCAGGAAATGGCTATTCTCCATATCCCATGCCTGTTTCTTACATCTACCAACAACCAGTTTATTCGCAGTTTGCTTCTCATCAGCTGGTACCACAAGCCACCTATCCTTACCCTTCTAACCCACATGTGCTTCCACAAGCTCCTTGGACTTACGGTAAGTTGAAAGTTTCAGTGTTTGATTCATTTTTGTTTTTGGCTTTAAATTTATGTAAAGGAAGTCATAGGTGGTGACACACCAGTTGTCCTTGTAGATATGTAGAACTGTTCATATACTGAGCAGAGTTGAATTTTGTTGTAAATCTAGTCAGAAAACAGAAAATTAGTGATGTCACTAATCCATTCCTTTAGGGAACAGCTAAAACAATTATGGTGAAATATATACAGTTACGAAACTATTATAGTTAATAAAAGTTTTTAATGATACGGGTTTTTTAAAATTCATTTTAAAAATTTTTTTTACATAACAACCAGTTTCCCCTCCCTCCTTCCGTTCCTTTCCCATACCTCTTTTCTGCCTCCTCCCCAATCCATTCCTCCTCTGTCTCCATTCAGAAAGGGTAAGACCTCCCATGGGAGTCAACAAAGCATGGCCTATCAAGTTGAGGCAGGACCAAGCTCCTCAATCAAGACTGAACAAGGCATCCCACCATAGGGAATAGCTTCCAAAGAGCTAGCTCATGCATCAGGGACCGGTCCTGCTTCTGCTAAGGACCATATAAAAGACCAGGCTACACAGTTGAACATGACAGTTTTTTAAAACTAACTTCTTAGGTGTGAATGATCAGAAATTCTGAAATATTCCAACATTTTAATCATTCACTCCTCAGTAGTAATAGTAGGCTATGTGAAGAGTCTTTTTCTGCATGACCTGGATTTCATATTGTGAACGTTCATTTTGATAAGTGGAGGAAAACAGTAAAGATGAAAAAAGGAAAAACCATTATTTTAAGAAACTTCTTCTGTTTTCTGATACTTTCATATAAGTGAATGTCATTAATTGGGAGGTATTAATTTAAAAAAAATATAGTCTTTTGCCTCTTGAACTTAGATTGCTTTTTCTATAAAGCACCTGTTTATAAAATGTCAGATTAAATACGAATTGGGATGAGGAGTCTAGTTTGTCTCCCAGTTCATAGAATGCAGTCTCTTAGAAAATGAAGGCCTGGCAGCAATGGCATGGGGCAAGCTGATCACGATGTCTATGGGCAGGAAGCAGAGAGAAATGCTGGTTCTCCAAAATGCAAGTGTTGGTTACACATTTCAGGTTAACCAGAATCAAAACAAAGTTTTAAGCTAATTACTCTGCTGAAATTAGTTATACCAAAACACCCAAATATTTCCTCATCAGTGATAATGTCCTTTAACCTTGAGAAACACAAGCCTGGAGTGGAGGAAATGCAGCATTGCATTTCTCTCTGATGCCATTAAACACCAAACAGATGTGGCAGATGTATAGTTAGACATTTAAAACTGATGGTGGTGGGGCACACCTTTAGTTCCAGCACAGGAGGCAGAGACAGGCAGATCTCTGAGTTCAAGGCCAGCCTAGTTTTCAGAGTGAGTTTCAGGACATCCAGGGCTACATAGAAAACCCTGTCTCAAAAAAAAAAAAAAAAAAAAAAAAAAAAAATTATTTTTAAGTACTTCAATTTCTGAAATGGAGAATCTTTATTGTACTCATGGTTTAGTCGTTCTTGTGTTTCTAACAGTTAAACCATTTGTGAACTAAGAAAAGGTCACTCCAGGATCAAGGACAGCTATGACTAATGAAAAAGAAAAAAATACTGAGAAATTACTTTTTAAAGTAGGAAAAAATTGAGCTACAAGCTCATCATTTAATTTTCAGTAGTGTAAACAGTCCACAGAAGTCACCTGTTACAGTACATGCATACTTAAAACATGTAAAAATCCTTTTAAAGCCTCTGTTGCTTAGGATGCTTGTGTTTTACACCCAAAAATGGAACTAAAGTAAAACATTGGAAATTTGTATGCTAAACAGTGTATCCTTTATTATATTTAGTTCTCACAAGTACTGAAGATACAGATGAGGAAACTATCACCCAGAGAGCCTTAAATTACTCCAAGAACCTATAACTTAAAAATGACAGATATACAATTGGACCCCAACCTGTTTAGCTTTAACTTAATCTGACTCTTTCTACTATATTACTATTTAGCATTGGTCTGTATCATTAATATGCCTCAAATCTTTGTTTTTGTTTTTGTTTTTTATCTTCCAGCTCCATGGCAACAGTACCCTTTTCTGCCAAGGCATTAAGAGTAAGTTAATCTCTTCATACTGAAATAAATGCAATTTAAGTTTTCACAAGTATTTTTGCCTATGAATTTTTTTACATTTGCGTATTTTCTTTAATGTTTAGTAATTTTAAATGTATTTAAATATGGTGAGATAACTTTTATAACATGTATAATTACAATAATCACATAATATGATGGGAAATTAATTTTTAATATCTGAAATAAGCAAAATTCTGTGCAGTTATAAAGGAGCTTGTTTCAACATTTAGTATTGTCAGCATTAAGCAGCAATAGCAAAAATCTTTAAAACCAGGGATTCTGTTAATTGCACTGTTCATGTTTTGCCATTTTATTAGGTTTAAAAAGAGGAATTTTTTTTTCTTGCATTAGTCCATCATCAGACCAATTATTTGATAATTCTTGATGCTTTATTCATACAATTTATACTCTTACATTATGGTGAACTTCTTTAGTTTCATTACCTATATTCTTTTTACTCAATGTTTCTAAACAACATAGCTCATGTTTTTACTGTTGAGGTTAGCATTGAGATACATTTTGTACAAGAGGCCCTGTCCTCAAGATTATTTCTTGACTATTTGAATGGTTCTTTTAATTTTTTAACATTTCATATGTTTACATTTAATTTAGCCCATGTTGAAGTGATTCAAATAATTCTGCAGAAATCGGTTTTAATGTTCTAGTTATTATTAACATTCTGCACAAGTAGGTTTTTTTGGTTTTTCTTTTTGGTAGTAATCATTGTTAGAAAATGGAACATAGAATCTAGTAGCCTTTACCAAAGCTAAGCAACCATTTCTGTGTGGGTCTCCAGTCAGCAAAAGCCTTCAATACTGAGTGAACCTTTCTCAACTTGTAGTTTGCCCTGCTATACAAGAGACTTTCTGAACCAATGCAGATAGCAGTTCCAGTGTTTCTTCAGACTTTTTGTTTAAAAAAAAAAACAAAATAACTTTTTGTATAATATTGCATAAGTCTCCAAAGACTATTTCTACCTTGTGTAATATAGACTAACTCAGTTTTCAATGCTGAGATGCCCCCAGAATAAGCCTCTACAGTGATGTTAGGCCAATAGAATGGAAGTCAGAGTCCTCAACTTGTGTCATCATGCAGTCTTAAAAGAATGCTGTCAGAAGAGCTGAAGCGATGACTCAGAGGTTAAGAGCATTGACTGCTCTTCTGAAGAATCTAGATTCAATTCCCAGCAACCACGCATAATGGCTCACAATCAGCTGTAATGAATGAGATCTGGTGCCCTCTTCTGGCTTGCAGGAACACATACAGGCAGAACACTGTCTACATAATAAATAAATAAATTAATACTTTAAAAAAATACTGACATGATAGACCCATCCCTGAAAGAATTGGGGAATCTGAAAGGATGGTAAGTAAAGCTGTGGTAAAGTACATCTTTATAGCTGTTTCATTTCTAAAACATCAAAACCAGAACTCCTGGGCCATATATTAAAGCCATAATATTAGCTGTCAATTGAGAAGTAACTTTTCATGCTGCAGGGATGGATTGATGGTTAGGAGAACTGATTGCTCTTTCATAGGATCCAGGTCCAATTCCCAGCATCCACATGGCAGCTCGCAACTGTCTATAACTCCAGTTCTAATGATCTTGCATCCTCACACAGACAGACATACAGGCAGGCAAAACATCAATCTTGAGGGTGGGGGAAAAGAGAAGGAGAGAGGAAAAGGAAAAGGTAATGTAGGGTAAGAACAGAGCATGGCCAAGCTGGCCTGCCAGAGTAACCTTACAAGTTAAACAACAATGGGATAGATGAAGTTAGAGCTAGGTGGAGATATGGGACATGAAAGTTAACAAGTCTGATTTGTTGATTCTTATCTGGACTCTATTAAGGTCCTTCCCTACCATTCTGTGATAGGTGGTTCTGTTCCTTCTCTAGTTGTTTGATTCTTAAGAGTATCAGTCCACAGACAGTACTTTTCAGCTTTCCCCAAATTATTCTTTTTGTTATATTTGGTTAACTGATTTTTATTTTGTTATTTCAACTTATGATGTGTTTGGCTGTTTTTTGCCTACATGTATGTTATGTGTTTCACAGGCATGACTGGTACTCTGAGGTGACCAGAAGAGGGTGTCAGATACCCTGGAATTAGATGGTTAAACACCACCATGTTCTTGTGATCAAAGAAAGCTCCTCTGTAAAAATAGCAAGTGCTCTTAGCTGCTGAGCCATCTCTCCAGCTACATATACAACATATTTAGATCATATTTATCCACTGCTATCTCCTTCCAATTCCCTTTATTGCCCCTGCCTCATATTGCTCATATGCCCAATAAGGGGCTATCCACTGTTTATAGACCACTTAATACAAGCCATGTTTCCAAGAGAGTGACCCTCCCTCTGTACCTAACAACCCCTCTACTAAGGGTGGAGCCTTAGGCACGTCGCCCCACCACAACCATATGGGATTTTGATTGTCTCAATCTTAACACAAAATCTTCCCCAAATAACCACCGCTACTATGAATTGATGTGTGTAACTGTCGCGTTATGTCTACATGTCAGCATATTTACAACTCTTCTCCCAATTCATGAGCTTTTACATCCTTTTCAGTCCCTCTTCTGTAATGTTCCCTGAGGCTTTGATGTGTTTGAAGCTGATGCAGAGTTGTCTACAACTGAGCACTCACAGTTAATGTTGATGAGTTATGCGCCTCGTCATTACTACTAGCCACTGCAAAAAGAAGCTTCCCTGACAAAAGTTAAGAACAACACAAAGTTATGATTATAAACTTAAGTATTTAAAAGGCAGATTACTAATGTGACCATTTAGCAAAATAATAGGTTCCCCAGTCATTAGCTTTTGACAAGATTTATAGTATCCTATCAGAAAGAAGTCATTTACCTCCTTGACCATCATGCCACTATGCAACACTGGGCACATCTTGCCAAGAAAATTGGTATTGTAGAATGTAAATGATGGATGAGACCATTGATGTCTTTTCTCCCCCAATAGCTTATATTGTGCTTTTTAGCACTACAAAAACTAGCCAACTGAGAAAGTTTTCTGGTCAGTTGAGGTTTATTTCTCTATGCCCTATGTCCAAAGCGAATGATACCTTCACCAATAGAGTCTTACCTCTAGTTTTATAGTGGACAACTGTTCTAGTTTCATTCCATTGAATTGACAAAACACTGAAAGCAAAGAATGTATTTGGCTTACACATCCATGTTACATCATTGAGGGAAGTCAGGACAGGAACTCAAGCAAGAACTGGAAGCAAACACCTTGAAGTAACATTTGCTGGCTAACTCACTCCCCAACCCATGCTTTACTTTTTTATACAATCTAGGAGCACCTGCTATACACAGCTGACCCTCTTACATCAATTAATAAGGCAATCCTCCATACCTTGGTTGGTTTAATTTTGATCCCTATTTTATTCCATTGTTCTACGTGTCTGTCTCTGTGCCTGTACCATGCTGTCTTTGTTAGTACGGCTCTGTAATTTGGAGTTGTACTATATTTCCCTTCTGTATTCTTCTGTGTTTGCATATGAGCTTTTGGACTTTTTTCCTAGTTCTCTAAAAAGTCTCAGAATTTTGATGGTTATTATGTTGGCTCTAAATTGCTTTGGTAATACAGCTGCTTCACAAGATGGATTCTGTCAATCCAAACAGCATGGAAAGTCTCTCCATTGTCTCATATCTTCTGTAATTTCTTTGTTCAGTCTATTGAAGTTTGCATTGTAGATGTTTCACTTCCTTGGTTAGGTTTTTTTTTTTTTGCCCTGTATTCTTTTTCAAGCTGTAATTAATAGGATTTTGTTTCTATTTTCTCAGAAAATTTGTTGTTGATCTATATTATGAATCACTTTTTTTCCTGTTATGTTGATTTTATATCCTAAAACTTTTCTGAAAATGTTTACTTAATTGAAGAGTTTTCTAGTGGAGTCTATAGAGTCTTTGAAGTGTAAAATCATGCCATCTGCAAATGGAGATAATTGGACTTCATCCATTTCTGTGTTTATGTCCTTAATATCTTTTCCTGTTTTGGTGTTCTGGCAAATAAGAGTGGAGAGAATAGTTACTCTTGTCATCTTCTGTATTTTAGAGGAAATATACTTATTTTCCTTCATTTAGTATAATGCTAAACATAGGTCTGTTGTATATAGTTGTTGTTCTGAGATCTAGTCTACCTGTTCTTAATTTCTTTAGCATGAAAAGGTCGTGTTAGTTAAGGTCTCTATTGCTATGATAAAACACCATAACCAAAATCAACTTGGGAAATAAGTGGTTTATTTCATTTTACCAATTGTAGTCTAGTATCAAGGGAAATCAGGACAACAGTAACCTGGGGGAAGGAACTGCAGAAGCTATGGAGGAGTGCTTCTTACTGGCTTGCTCCCCATGACTTACTCTGCTTACTTTTTATGGTTCCCAGCACAACCAACAACCAGCCCAAGGTGTCTCTCTCTCTCTCTCTCTCTCTCTCTCTCTCTCTCTCTCTCTCTCTCTCTCTCTCTCTCCCCCTCTCTCCCTCTCCCTCTCCAACACACCACAGTGAGCCAGCCCCTCCTACATTAATCACCCATCATGAAAATACACCACAGGCAAATCTGATGGCAGCATTTTCTCAAAGTTTCCTCTTCCCAGATGACTCTTGATTGTGTCAAGTTGACATAAAACTAGCCAACAGAGACATGTTGAATTTGAAGCCATAGAAATGATCGTTTGATGTCTTTCCTTAAGCCCATATATATAGCATATAAAATTTATTGATTTTAGTGTGATGAACCAACCTGTTGTCATTTATGATCTTAATGTCTTCTTGAAGTGTATTTGCAAGTATTTTGCTGAGAATTTTTTAATTAAAAAAAAATTTCATACAAAATATGATGATGCTTTCTTTCCTTCCCCTAACTCCTCCCAGATCCTCTTGTTCATGAGGGAGTAGTTTTTTTGTATCTTTATCTGGTTTTGGTTAACAGGGTAATACTTATAGAACCAACTTGGCAGTCCCCTCCCCTTTCTATTTTGTAGAATAGTTTTGAGAAGTGTTAGTAGTAAAAGTT